TTTTTTTTTTTTTTTTTTGAGACAGAGTTTTACTTTGTAAGCCCAGGGTAGAGTTCTATGGCATCATAACTCACAACAACCTCAAACTCCTGGGTTTGAGCAATCCTCTTGCCTTAGCCTCCCAAGTTACTGGGACTACAGGCGCCCTCCACAACAGCCGGCTAGTTTTTTGACTTTTAGCAGAGACAGGGTTTCACTCTTGCTTAGGCTGATCTGGAACACCTGAGCTCAAGCACGCCATTGGTCTCAGCCTCCCAGAGTGCTAGCATTACGGGTGTTAGCCACCGCCCCTGGATGACTACTCCATTTTCTATGACATAGATGATTAGAACTCCCAGAGCAGGAGGTATTTCTTTGTTACTCTCACATCCGAGTGCCCAGTATATCCCCTGGGCACATAGTAGGGTGGCTGCCAACATTCATCAGAGGCCAGAATTCCTTCAAAACAACCAGAAAAACAAAGTTGAGTTTGGTCTGTGTCCTCAGAGAAAAGGTTGGACCTCGGACTTAGGCTGCTGACATCTCATTCCAAGCAGCCTTGGCCCCCCCATATGTCAGGGTGGTGTGGAGGAATGTCTCCACCCCTAATCCCCAGAGCCCAGGGCAGAGTTCTCTGGACTGCCCCAAATTCTGTTTTCAGATGCAGGCCTGAGGTTATGCACTCAGAGGCTATTTTGGTCTTTGGCAGCTTCAGGTAAAATTTAGAAAATCTGAGAGTCAGCCTGAACTGGCGGTGGGAGCTAGACCCAAGCCAAGTGGGAGACAGGAACCAACTAAAAAGTTCATCTAAAGTAAGGTTTTATAGCCCAACTATATACTATGTGCCTGGTGCAGAGTAGATGCATTGCTAGAAGTTGGGAATTTCCCCTATTGCATTGGAAGAAAAGGAGGGGGACAAAAACACCCAGAGTTGGCAGTGATGATTAGAAGAAGAGCCTGTATCATGCACTACTGCCTTAAGTGACTGGTGGTAAAGACTAATGTTCACTGGTGGCCCTGATCATGTACTTATTCAATATGTTCTAAACACTTGACTTGTGTAATCCTTTTTAACCTCACAAAACTTGGAAGGAGGGTTTTTTTTATTTTATTTGTTTTCTTATTTACTTTGAGACAGAGTCTACTCTGGCTAATTTCACTTAGCATAATGTTCTCAAGGTTCATTCATGTTTGAGCATGTGTCAGAATTTCCTTCCTTTTTAAGGCTGAATAATATTCCATTGTATGGATAAGACTACATTTTGTTTGTTCATTCAGTCATTGACAAATGCTTGGGTTACTTTTCCCTTTTAACTGCTGTGAATGTTGCTGCTATAAACAAGGGAGCCTAAGTCTCTAAAACACTGCTTTCCATTCTTTTGGCCACTAGAATTTTGTAACTTTGAAATAGTTTAAGACTGATACACAGTTGCAAAATGACTACAGACTTTTCATGAACCCTTCACTCCTCTTCCCCCAGAGAAATGTTCTATCCTATTAAAGCACTGTCAAACCCTGGAAACTGACTTTGGTACATGGCTGGTGCCCTACTCACTGAGCTATCAGCGCTAAGCTTGTTTATGCATCTTTCTTAGGAAGAGAGTGGAAGGCAATGAGTATGATCTTTCCCTGCAACTGGCCTGGTTCAAATTCTGCCTGGATTTTGGTGCACTTGTGTGCCCTCAGGTGAGTTTTCTCCTCTACTTCAGAGCCTCAGTTTCCTCATCTGTAAAATGAGGATGAAAGAATGCTGGGGCCCCAGTGGCAAAGTCTAAAATTACTAGTATTAGCATAGATAATAATGTTACACAGACTGTCTTCAGAGGGAATCTTTTGTTGTTGTAGTTGTTTTTAATGGAATGGGCCTGTGTGTTTGCATATAGAAAAATGAGCATGATGTTTGTGTAGTCAATCAGCAAACCCATAGTATATTTAGTTCCTTCTACATACCCTCCACCCCCTGTGCAGCCTCCTAATACTCCTAACAGGTGTCATGGCTTATCTCAGTTCATTCAGTCTGCTACATGGTATAACACAACACCATAGTCAGGGTAGTTTATAAACAATAGAAATTTATTGCTCACAGTTCTAGAAGCTGGGAAATCTAAGATTAATGCACTAGCAGAGTAGGTGTCTGACAGATAATCCTTCACAGATCCTCCCCTCCCTTTCCTTCCCTTCCTCCCTCCTCTCTCTCTCTTTTCTTCTCAGCACAGAGTATTTCAAAGCTGGAGGAATGCAGTTATCTAGCCTGCCTCAGCCTCAGTCTCTAGCCTCAGCCTGAGTCTCTAGCCTCAGCCTCCTGAGCAGCTGGCACTGCAGGGAAGCATTATCATGCTCAGCTAGTTTCTTAAAACTACTCTTAGGGGCTCAGCGCCTGTGGCTCAAGTGGCTAAGGTGCCTGCCACATACACCTAAGGTGGCGGGTTCGAATCCAACCCTAGGCCCACCAAACAACAATGATGGCTGCAACCAAAAAATAGCCAGGCCTTGTGGCCAGCGCCTGTGGTCCCAGCTACTTGGGAAGCTATGGCAGGAGACTCGCTTGAACCCAGAAGTTGGAGGTTGCTGTGAGCTGTGATGTCACAGCACTCTACCCAGGGGGACAGCTTGAGGCTCTGTCTCAAAAAAAAAACAAAAAAAACTTTTTTTAGGGGGCTGGGCACAGTGGCTCATGCCTGTAATCCTAGCACTCTGGGAGGCTGAGGCAGGTAGACTGCTTGAGCTCAGAGGTGTGAGACCAGCTTGAGCAAGAGTGAGACTCTATCTCTATTAAAAATAGAAAAACTGAAGCAGGAGAATCACTTGAGCCCAAGAATTGAAGGTTGCTGTGAGCTACAATGCCTCAGCACTCGACCCAGGGTGACAGCTTGAGACTCTGTCTCAAAAACAAACAAACAAACCATTTTCTAGGCCAGGTGTGGTGGCTCACACCTATAAGCCCAGCCTGAGCAAGAGGGAGACCCGCATCTCTACTAAAAATAGAAAAATTTGCCAGGCATTGTGGTGGACACCTGTAGTCCCACCTACTTGGGAAGCTGAAACAAGAGGATCACTTGAACCCAGGAATTTGAGGTTGCTATGAGCTAGGTTGATGCCACAGCACTCTAGTCTGGGCAACAGAGCAACACAGAGGGTCTCCCTAGAGCCTTTTTGCCCAGCATGGCCTCAAATTCCTGGCCTTAAGTCATTCTTCCTTCTCAGTCTCCCCAGTAGTTGGGACTACTGTGAGCCACCACAGGAGGTATAGATGACACTTTCTGTGTGTCCTCACCTGAGAGAAGGGAAACGTGACCACTTCAAGTTCTTTTCTAAGAACACTCATCCTCTGGCTCTGTGATTAGGGCGCTGGCTGCATACACCAGGGCTGGAGGGTTCAAACCTGGCCAGGGCCAATGACAACTACAACAAAAAAATAGCCAGCCGTTGTGGCAGGCACCTGTAGTCCCAGTTACTTGGGCAGCTGAGGCAAGAGAATCTCTTAAGCCCAAGAGTCTGAGGTTGCTGTGAGCTGTGACATTATGGCACTGTACCCAGGGTGACAGGGTGACATAGTGAGACTCCGTCTCAAAAAAAAAAAAAAAGAACACTCATCCCATTTATGAGGGTAGAACCCTCATGACTTAATTTCCCAAAAGGCCTTATATCTTTTTTTTTTTTTTGAGAGAGAGAGTCTCACTGTGTT